TTTACTTGAAGACAATGTTTTGTATAAAACAAGATTTAAGTAAATATTCAATGGAAATATCTCCGAGTGCCCATTAAAATTAATGTTCACTGTTTCCTGTAAACATATATATACAGAAGATGGAAGAATGGAGGGGGGGGGGGGGTAAAACAAGGTTAGATCATTATGATCCAATAAAAAACGACCTTTCTTCTCTTTTTCTCTTCCAAAAATCCGTTCAAAATATTCAAGGATTGTAGAAACATATTTATATAATTTCTTAAAGGATTTGACATTTTTGATAAAAAACTTTAAACCTTATTTTTAGCATTCTTCGGATATTTGGATATTTTCCTTCCTAATACTTCAACACCCCCCATCATAAATTGGTGTCTAAGGAATAAACTCTTCATTGAACCCTGAAATAAATATTTCCCGTTTGCTCCAAGACTTCTTATGGTTGCATTTGTTTAAAGGGGTTGTTCACCTATTTGATAGGGTACATAAATATTAAAATGTTTAAAGGGCTTGTTCACCTATTTGATAGGGTACATAAATATTAGAATGTTTAAAGGGGTTCTTCATCTATTTGATAGGGTACATATATTAAAATTTTGGAACATAGCGCAAGTAAGACAATATGGCAGCTGAAAGGTGTATCAATCATTATCCGTTAGGTACAGTCTTTGAGAGTCATTATTTCGTTGATTTATTATAAAAGAACTGTCTTATTGCAGTTTGGCGCACAACTTCTCGGCTTCTGATTGGCTGTTTGGTTTCTGCAAACGACACTGTGATGGGTTCACACTTTCCTGAATATCAAATAAAGATTAAATTAATCTGCAGATTTAAAAAAAGTAGAGATAAAGCATTGATCTCGATATCCACAATTCAAGAATTATGATTATGAACCGCGTGTCTTACATTTTCAAGATGAAACCTTGGCTCAGAAATAAATGTTATGAAAGCTTGATGACTGGAATCTATAGAATCCACAGACAAATCAACATTTAATAAAAGTATTTTCTCCTGCTTCTAAGTAATGATCACAAAAACTGTTCTGCCGCATGGCCGCCAACATTTCTAGATTTTTTCTTTTAGTTTAAGCTATCCAACAACATCTTCGCTAATATTTACATACAGGAATAGGTTTAATCTCAAAGGGACTGAAGTGTTCAGTGTCTCTCATTAGCAGAGTGGCGTGGTCGATTCACAACAGAACCCTTTAAACCTTTGGCTGATAAAAGATGACGGATTTATCCTTATTTAAAATATTTTCTTTTGGATGTTTGAAAGCCTCATTGAAAATAAATGCTCGAGATTTTTGATCAAAATATGTGGTGAACAAAACTTTGCGTTTTTATCCTACATAGTTCAAGATTTGTTTTTTGTAATAATAATCTATGTTTTTACCAAATAAAAAATCATTGATAATCTATTACTGCAGATCCGAATAAAATGTTATGTAATTTATTCTTTTGCTTATTCTCTCCAAACATTGGCCTTGGAACAACCGATATTTCATTCGAAAGAATCTAACAAAGTAACCAGGAAAGACCAGGTGCATTCTAAATATCTAACCTAGTAAACAGGAGAGATCAGGTGTAGTCTAAATATCTAACCTGTAACAAGGAAAGACCAGGTGTAGTCTAAATATCTAACCTGTAACCAGGAAAGACCAGGTGTAGTCTAAATATCTAACCTGTAACCAGGAAAGACCAGGTGTAGTCTAAATATCTAACCTAGTAACCAAGAAAGACCAGGTGCATTCTAAATATCTAACCTAGTAAACATGAAAGACCAGGTGCATTCTAAATATCTAACCTAGTAAACATGAAAGACCAGGTGCATTCTAAATATCTGACCTAGTAAACAGGAGAGATCAGGTGCATTCTAAATATCTAACCAAGTAAACAGGAAAGATCAGGTGCAGTCTAAATATCTAATCTAGTAAACATGAAAGACCAAGTGCAGTCTAAAAATCTAACCTAGTAAACATGAAAGACCAGGTGTAGTCTAAATATCTGACCTAGTAAACAGGAAAGATCATGTGTAGTCTAAATATCTAACCTAGTAAACAAGAGAGATCAGGTGTAGTCTAAATATCTAACCTAGTAAACAGGAAAGATCAGGTGTAGTCTAAATATCTAACCTAGTAACCAGGAAAGATCAGGTGTAGTTTAAATATCTAATCTGTAACCAGGAAAGATTAGGTGTAGTCTAAATATCTAACCAAGTAACCAGGAAAGATCAGGTGTAGTTTAAATATCTAACCTGTAACCAGGAAAGACCAGGTGTAGTTTAAATATATAATTCAATAACCAGGAAGGACCAGGTGTAGTTGAAATATATAATCTAATAACCAGGAAAGACCAGGTGTAGTTTAAATATATAATCTAATAACCAGGAAGGACCAGGTGTAGTCTAAATATATAATCTAATAACCAGGAAGGACCAGGTGTAGTCTAAATATCTAACCTAGTAACCAGGAAGGACCAGGTGCAGTCTAAATATCTAACCTAGTAACCAGGAAAAACCAGCTGCAGTCTAAATATCTAACAACTTGTAATGTCAAAACGTACCTTCCTGATCAGTAAGATGGAGTAATAATTTAAGAAATGCTTTGTTCTTAAAAACATTTAATCTTGACCAGCACAATCCCTGGAGAGTGCATCTATAGTTTGTAATCTAAGTTTAACTGTTGAAAGTAATTAAACTGACCAAACAGTCACCAGACTTCATACATTCATAGCTGCAAAACTTTTAAACAAAAAACTAGTGGTTTAACTCTTAAAACATTATTAGGGGGGGGGGGGTGATTCTCCCATGTCTCTGTTTAACTGTAAAGGGTTTAGGGTGTCCAAAGAGAATGTGAATGATAAATGTAGATATTTAGAAATTAGACTTATATTAAAATATTGTTCCTATTCTTGCATATGCATAGTAATGTTTATTACTCATTAATCAAAATTGTAATATTGTTCCTAATTTACATGCATATTAACTTTCAAAGTAATTTTTTTTGTTCTTAAAGGGAGTGGCCGGCCATGTATGGTGGTTGAACTGAATATGTAGTATTGTGGACACATTTTTAGGAATCATTTGAGACATATAAAACGTTTCTACGACGTATATTTACTGAGTTTGAGCGCAAAATCGACGTTCAAAATCATGAATTTGGGTGGGTACGTTCTCAGAATCGTTTTTTTTAAATCATTAAATAGCAACGAAAATTTTCGTTTAAACAAACCCCCCCCCCCCCCTCCAGAAGAATTAGGGGCGAGTAGCTGGATGCCCCACCCCCACGTTTGACAATTTTTGTCCTCCCCCCTTTAGGATGAATCGCCCACCAGGTTGAGCCTGTAATTCTCAGCATTTTCGAACTCATTTTCAATTTCACATATCAAAAAAAGCCATTTGGGATGTTTTGCGTCATGTTTATCATATTGCTAAATAAGCTAAATATTTTTGAATATTTGAACTTTGCACAAGGAACTTTTAAAAGTTAGAATATCGATTTGACAAATGTACATTAATGGTTTCTGCATTTTTATTCATGTGTAGAATGACGTCTACAAAATTCCCTCCCCTCTTTAAATTTACGTGTTAACCTTTATGTCCAATGATAAGAAGTCTGTACAATTTCCCTGTACGAACTGCCTATCAGCATTTTATACTCCAACCTTTCTCTGCCATTCCCCTATCCCATATATCCCCCTAATTCTCTTTTGATTATTCCCCCATTCCTTATTCCTCTATCCATCGGTTCCCCTATTTTCCTATACCCCTATTCCCCTATTCTCATATTACCCTATTCCGCCATCACCCTATTCCACTATCCCCCCATTCTCCTATTCTCCTACTCCCTTATTCCCTTATACCCCTATTCCTCTATTCCCTTATTTCCTTATTTCTCTTTTACCCTATTCCTTTATACCCCTAAACCAATTTCATTATTCCTCTTATTCCCCTATTCCTCTATTCCCCTGCTGCTGTTCCAACCTTCTATTCTTAAAATGCAAAGTTTAGAAGAAAATTACTAAATGTTTTCTTTACCGCAAAGTTTAGGATTCAAGAATATAAAAAGTTAGCAAATATAAATAAATAAATAAATAAATAAATAAATAAATAAATAAATATAAAATATAAATTCTATTTTAGTTTTTCTAATTCTGCCAATCCATCCCATCAAATCCTGAGCAACTGCTCTTTATAGAATTAGATTTATATTTTCTTTTCTTTAATTTATAAATAATGGTTCAGATATGTTTTTGTTAAAATGTTTTGATGTTTTACGCTCATAATCCCAATATTGTAAAATGGGTTTATTTTGAAGCATCTATTATTATAGTTTCTTCAGTATTTAAAGAGACTTTAGACGTAATTTTAAGTTATACTCTCTATTATCAGAGTGCAGGCATGTTCTATTCACAACTTGTAATTAAGAATAAACGTGATATCCATGTTAACTTGAAAATTGATTATTATCAATATGGTGGAAATTGAGAAAATTTAACACTTATCAAGCTTAAAACAAGCTTCACAACAAGCTTATTGATCAAATAAGGGTGACAGGATTTAATATGCCTCTCTTTGAAGGAAAGTTATGTTTACAGTCTATTTAAAAATAAAATGAATTGTTTTCTAAATCTGGTTGAGTTTATTACTAAGATTGCCGGTTAAAAAAACTATAGTTTTTTAACTCCGTCTGAATACCAATATGGCGCTGAAGATAGTGTAAACATATAATATATATATGTATAAAACTATATATATATATATATATATATATATATGTATATATATTTTTATATTGGTATTTTACTGGTTAACTTCAAGTTCACCAATGCAAAGACAAACTAAATAAATAAAGAAAGATTAGGATCTAAAAAGAAATAGTAACCAATTCCCGGGATGATTCAGAAAATACTCCACATTCACAAACAAATTTATCTGGTTACGAAATTAAAAGCATTTTGTTCTTCTCACTAATTCTTCCTAAAGATGAGTTATGATTAAAGGGTCTCCAGGGATTAGAACCTCATAATTTCCATAGATTAGAAACTCAGAATATCCAGGGATTAGAAACTCAGAATATCCAGGGATTAGAAACTCAGGATATCCAGGGATTAGAAACTCATGGTATCCCGGGATTAGAATCTCAGGTTATCAAAGGATTATAACTTCAGAATATCCAGGGATTAGAACCTCATAATATTCAGGGATTAGAAACTCAGGATATCCAGGGATTAGAAACTCAGGGTATCCAGGGATTAGGAACTCATAATATCCAGGGATTAGAAACACAGGATATCCATGGATTAGAAACTCAGGATATCCAGAGATTAGAACCTCAGGATATCAAAGGATTAGAAGAACTTCAGGATATCCAGGGATTAGAACCTCATAATATCCAGGGATTAGAAACTCAGGGTATCAAAGGATTAGAACTTCAGGATATCCAGGGATTAGAGCCTCATAATATCTAGGGATTAGTAACTCAGGATATCCAGGGTTCAGAAACTCAGGATATCAAAGGATTAGAGCTTCAGGATATCCAGGGATCAGAGCCTCATAATATCCAGGGATCAGAGCCTCATAATATCCAGGGTTTAGAAACTCAGGATATCCAGGAATTAGAAACTCAGGGTATCCAGAGATTAGAACCTCAGGATATCAACGGATTAGAACTTCATAATATCCAGGGATTAGAAACTCAGGATATCCAGGGATTAGAAACTCATAATATCCAGGGATTGGAAACTCAGGGCATCCAGGGATTAGAACCTCATAATATCCAGGGATTAGAAACTCAGGGTATCCAGGGATAAGAACCTCAGAATATCAAAGGATTATAACTTCAGGATATCCAGGGATCAGAGCCTCATAATATCCAGGGATTAGAAACTCAGGATATCCAGGGATTAGAAACTCAGGATATCCAGGGATTAGAAACTCAGGATATCCAGGGATTAGAGCCTCATAATATCCAGGGATTAGAAACTCAGGATATCCAGGAATTAGAACCTCAGGATATCCAGGAATTAGAACCTCAGGATATCCAGTCAAAATACAATGTTTATTGTTTAAAATGAAACTATTTAAAAATATAACAAAAGTAATGAAATCTTTTTAAGCCATATAAAAAAGATGATAAAACTTATTAAAAAGATAAAGAAATACTAAAGCTTTAAAAGATAACTTTAAAGTTTCAAACAGAGGTAAAACCTATCAAAAAGTTTTCGAAGGGAGAATTATATTTTTTTTTGTACTAAAACTGGATACAAATATACCTATTGACTCCAGAAAAAGGATTAAATTTGTAGCAAATATAGAGGCCTGTAGCAAATCCAGCAATTGTTAACCTGAGCATACCTAGATATATCTAACATGAGCTACGTAATATGATTAAAACATGCATTGTGATTAGATTAACTATGTTTACATCTATCCATGTTTATTTTTTAAATATGTACATTCAATTTGAACTACGCTGTAAACAATGTTTGGAGATAGCTTAACTACTTTAAATATCTATCCTCGCTAATCTTATGAATGTGTACATTAAACTTTAACTGTGCAGTAAATAGGCAACATTATTGTCTTAATCATGTGATAAAGATAACGACATAGGAATTTTGATTACGTCTATTAACTTTAACTTGTAACACATAAACCTCAAATACACTAGTTGATATAGAAACTTTGCTTTGATTACAGTCTTGAGAGTAATTTGGTTTCCTTGAAACATACGAATTAAGATTGTTACCTTGAGATTTGGCTTGATCGATTAAATGCTAGTGTCCATATTGACATCGATAGCTAAAAAAATAGCGCCCAGTAGTACTGGCGTTGATAAGCCACAGGATTGTAGCTGTGAGGATTGTGTCCTAGTTGAGACATTGATAAGCCATGGGATTATAGCTGTGAGGATCATTTCTTAGTTGAGACATTGATAAGCCACGGAATTGTAGCTGTGAGGATCATGTCCTGGTTAAGACATTGCCATAAGCCATGGAATTGTAGCCATGAGGATCATGTCCAAGTTGAGAAATTGATAAGCCACAGAATTTAGTCATGAGGATCGCGCCTGGTTGAGACATTGTTAAGCCACGGGATTGTAGTGGTGAGGATCGTGTGTTGGTCAAGGCACTGATAGTGCATGGGATTGTAGCCGTGTGTTGACATTGATAGTCAAGAGAATCGGAGTTGGACCTGGATAGTTACTTGTTCAAGAAACTGCTTTGGAGTAGGGCATTTACTACAGATTAACCTTTATCTAATGAAAGCAGTGTTTGGGCATTAATCAAACTTTAACAGTAAGAGGATGCTTAGTTAGAATGCTATTTATATTTCTTTCCCATTTTATCCTTCTATGCTTTTCTATAACAAAAGGAAACTGTCTTTATTTTATTGTGACATTTATGTGTCTAAATGCTGCCTTACTGAAAACCAAGATATACAGTGTGCACGGTCTCACGCAAAAATCAACCAGTATTTTTCCAGTTTCTTCTTTTTAAATGAAAATGCATTTTCAATATGAATATGCATATGGCTTCAAAAAACGCATAAGTGAGTTGGTGACAGTTGGTGAGTTTAAAAATCAAATGATGAAATGAACTGGATTTTTAATCTATTTTTTTCAGTGTTCTTTTATTTTATTTCTGGATCTGACAAGATAAGATGGTAATTTTGTGTCTGCTAATAAACATGAAGAAATAGATTGATTAGTGCCACCTCAGCTCACCAATATATAACTACAACTACAACTACAAATACAACTACAAATACAACTACAACTACAACTACAACTACAACTACAACTACAATTACAACTACAATTACAACTACAACTACAACTACAACTACAACTACAACTACAGCTAACACTACAACTACAACTACAACTACAACTACAACTACAGCTACAGCTAACACTACAAAGTTACAACTACAATAAAGCAAAATAGTACAGCAATATCGAATTTCTTTAAGAGACTGTATCCATTTTTTCAAATTCATTTCAACATGAGGTAGCATATTCGATTCACAAGCTTTGTTTCATCAAGACTTCAAATTCATTACTTTTAATGGTGGTTTCTCCATAAAAAGTGACTTGCGGATTTCAGCTGAAGAAACAATGGAGGAGCTTGTCAGAATTAAACAGACAATAGACAAAAAAGTCTAACTTCCTCTACATATATTTGGTTAGACTAATGTTTAAAGAATGGGGCATGCTAAAGCACATCTTTTAATGGATAGTCACTCTAAATTCCATCCTCAGACCTTTTAAGTGAGTTTTTAAATGACAATCCAAATAGAAGGAACTCAATTCTTGCCACCAACACCTTCGATATTTCAAACACATGGCTATTAGATCTAACAGAACCCAAAGTTTGACATATCTATGGTCTCCGATGTAAAACTACTAAGATAAAAGGATTACAAAATCAAGGTTTGAATCAAGCGTTTCTTTCCTTTTTCTTCCTAATGATGCTCTTTTTAGCCTTTTTAATATAAATACTTTTATCTCAAACCTTTTCAGGATTGAGATAAAATCTAAATACTGAATACAGAATATCTTTCATTATCGTTTCGTAATCAATTTTGCGATAAACAGAAGTAATTATGTTGTATTCAATGAAAGCTGGAAATATATCCTTTTCTTTTTATATTTGTGTGTGGGGGGGCAGATCAACAAATAAATTAACCTTTTCTCAACTTGAACAAACTTTCTCTATACTGCAATTCTTTCAAACAGAAAACTAATTTTATTTTGTCTCTTCTTTTCATTAAAAATACAATTATCGAAATGTGACTTTTTGACAGTTGATTGAGAAATAAGTAAATTTAAATACTTACCAAAAGGATAAGGATATCAAGAATGATTTATCCGTACAAGGAAAAGTAATATTCTTTTATTGATAATTCCTAGAGAACGATTTGTGTATGTTGCACACACAAACTTTGAGAAAATAAAAGTCTGAATTATTAACTTTCATACAAATAAAGAGAGATTTTCCCCGCCAAACGTTCCCTTGGGCGGGGACGGGGGGGGATTAGAACCAATTACCCCCCCCCATTTACACCCCTGTATACTTTATATAATCAGAACCTAACTTTCTTATTTAATGTAATCTCAAGGTGTACATTAAGTAAATTAAAAGTAAATCAGATATGATTTAAAGTTAGACTAAAGTTATTCTTCAACTATAACCAAGAGGTTCCTCTTTGTACATAACGAAATTTGATTAATACGAATATTAAATTCCCAAATCCAAGCTTGCATGTTATTTTGAATCTAAAAGTTTTTGCATTGAAAATTCGTTAAATTTATCCGGGAATTGGTAGTTTTTGACAAAATCATATTTATCAATTTCATCACATTTTTAACGATATTCTCTTTAGACAAAATCATATTTATCAATTTCATCACATTTTTAACGATATTCTCTTTAGACAAAATCATATTTATCAATTTCATCACATTTTTAACGATATTCTCTTTAGACAAAATCATATTTATCAATTTCATCACATTTTTAACGATATTTTCTTTTTTAGCATACACCTTGAATATTTTATGTATATATGTAAAATTGAGTTGAATTAGAAAAATTGGCATAAGGAGATATATTGTGCAATTCAATACTTTTTGCAAATGATTCAGGGGCACGCAATTCCCCAATATCTTTAAAGTGTATCGCTTTTTTTAGCGGGTTGAAAAGTTGCAACAATTTTTCAAATGTCATTTTTCCAATTTCGGGTTATATTTGGCTAGTTCCCCATGGTATTAGAAAGGAAAGTAACCTTGAATGTGTTGAGTGTGAAGTGTGCTCAACTTTGGTCGAAACTTTTTAATTTTCTGAAAGATATTTAAATATTGATTAAATTTTATTCAGATTAGATCAAAAGACAGATTCTTTCTAAAAAAAATAAGTTATTTTTTCAATTTTGAAATGATCTTCTTATAAATTTTGGGAGGAGAAAGAGGCTGCAGATTTAATTGTTATCAAATTAAAGGGTTAACAAATTCCTAATCAAAAAAGCGATAGTTCTTCAATTTCGTTTTTCACTTTTTCTAAAATCGAGACGATCGTTTTTAAAAACGAACCTCTCGTTTTGAATGTTTAAAAATTAATTTTTTTTCACGAGAGAAATAACTTGAAGGTTAATTGACCTAAGGATTTTCCGACCAAAAAATCTATTTTGTCTTAAAAAAGTCATTGACGACCGTTAATGAAGAGTCATCATTTACAATTTAACCAATGATCATCGTTAACAATCGCCAAAAATTAAAAAAGAATCTATCGTTAACGAAACGACCGGTTCGTTTAAAAAAAAAAAGTGTAAACGATCCATACCTATGCATATCTAGGTTTGTAGTAAATACCGTACTGTTAACATTTTGTCCAGAACTGTATCAGTCCAGGTACAATCCGTCCGCTATCAAACAGGACCCTATCAACACGGCTATAATCCCGTGAACTATCAATGCCACTACCACTGGGCGCAATCTCATTAGCTATCGGTGTCATTACAGACACTAGCAATTATTTATTTATTTTTAATTTTTTTATGAAACAATTTTATTGATTCATGTTTTTAATGCAGAATGCAGATAATCATTTTTCCAATCTTCTTGTTGTCTGGCTGTCCTGTTATGCTCATTCAATTAGCTGTTCATGTTCCGGTACCATCATCTCTGGCCGTTGTTTCCTCATAATTGATCCCGACCAATCAGGAGACATCTGTATTCAGAGAGACATTTAAGGATCCTTTGAATAGGAAAAGAAAAATCTTTAAAACACGACAATATTCATAAACGTTA